CCAACGTTCTGAGGAATGGGAGAAGTTCCTTTGCAGTGACCAAGTTATAATGGTTCAGGGTGGGTGTTTGCATTTGCCCCGAGGTTACAATTGTACAGCAGCCCATTTTTTTTTTTTCTTTTCAGCTGAACTTGGAGTGATGTAGACTTGGCCACTGCCATCCTTTTCAGCTGTTCATGGTTATCGTTATTTTAATCTGATTTCTTTCCCCCGGAGGGTGGATGACAAGGACAGGCTGTTCTGTTCTGATTGTGTTATTCCAACCTGTGAGAGCTGTCTGGTTCTTAGAGAGGAGTGTGGACACTGCTAATAGCTGGTTCTCTGCTATCATTCAGTATTGCCTAGTTGCTTAGAATATCCCCTATCTATCTATCTATCTATCTATCTATCTATCTATCTATCTATCTATCATCTATCTACCGATCATCTCATGAAGCTGCTGTGGCAAGAGGAGTGTATGAGCATGGGACAGAACTCTCTGGAAGGTGAGAAAATCGTAACCCTTCAAAATCTTTTTTTCCCCCCAGATGTCTTAATTTTCAGAAGAGATTGAGCCTTTGAAAGCTGATGAACTCGAACTTGCTAATTTTGAGCAAGTTCCCATGATGAATGTGCAAAGTTAGGACACCCATTTCAGTGTGCTTCCCTAAACTGTATGTAGAGGGTGTGTGGTTGGGGTGAGGTGTGAAAGCGGAAAACATGATTATAGAAGCCTGTAAGATACGTTCTTTCACAGAAAGAAAGGAAAAACTAATGACATGATGTTTTCTTTCCCCGTTAGCGTTGGGAAGACTTTTCTTGTCCGTTTAGTCTCTTATTTGCTTAAATCACTTGCTAGAGTATTACTGATAAATTGAGTGCCTGCTTGTGCTTGAATTGGTGCTATCTGAAAACACAGAATAATCTAGCAACAGTTAAACTCTGCTCTCTTCACCATTACATCATGGATAGCTAAGTAGGAACAATGCTAGGAGGTTAGAAAATTGTCCCCCTGAAAGGATCTATTATTGAAGATGTGTGCTGGATTATAGCACCTGCTTGGATTGAGTAAGCTGCAATAAAACCTCCAATGACATATACAAAATTATACAACAACTAACACCTTCTGTACTTTTACATAGACTTGCTAGAATAAACTAACATTGAAAGGACTAGATCACTCTTAGGCCAACTCCTTTTGTAATCTCCTCTATTAACACTCATCTTGTGTAACTGGTGAATTTCAAGAAGAAGTTTAATTCTGTTTCAGGTGCCAAAACAATAAAGAGCATGAAAATAAAATTTCTGGGGTTTGAGCTTTCCATAAGCCTGTGAGTCCTAAGGTGGATGTAGTGGCTAACAGCTACTTGCGGTGTTTACATCCAGTGTTGGAGTACCTGGGGTGGAGTCCTGGGACTCTGCTTGCGAAGCAGCTTTCCCGCTAACATGCCTGGGAGGCAGCAGAGGGCGGTCTTATTCCATGGGGACTGATCCAAAGATTAAGGAAATGTAAATGTTTTAGAATTTTATCTTGAGAAAGAATCTCCTTTTAAGATGATGATATTATAGAAGAGTTAACATGTTTTTTTAACTTTTTGCTCACTCGGAAACCAGGAGCAGATTATAATCAAGAGTAATATTGAAAAATTCTTTTGTGTGTGATAACCTCAAATGTATCCAATCAGAATGTTGCTAAGACGGGGTTTTCTGTTGAGTTTGCACAGGATTCTAGGAAAGGTTACAGTCACATTGGTTAGAGGCTTGTTAATAATGTCAGCATGCAAACCATGTGAATTCCAGTGCGTCACTCCCAGGAGGATGTCAGAGAAAAGAAAACACCAAGCAAACTTTGGTATTTCTGAAAATACTAATCAGGTTATGAGAGACGGGTTCCAAGTTTGATGGGAATAAACGTGTTAAAATGGCGTAAAGAATGGATGATGATATGACCTGGCCTAGACCTTTGCATATGCTTTGCTTTTATGAAGTATATAACTTTGGAGTTTCAGTTTATTAATCTTTAAAATGTCCAGGAGCCCACAAAATTTGCTGGCATCACAAACAAGCATGTGTATGAGTCGCGGCTGCTCTGTTTCCGATCCGTCTCCCTGCCAATGCGCCTGGCAAACCAGTGGAAGACGGCTCAAGTTCTTGGAAACCAGCCATCCACGTAGGGAGGAGTTCCAGGTCCTGGTTTTGGCCTGCCCCAACCTTGACTAGTGTAACCTTGGGAGAAAAGAAACAACGGATTGAGGATTTCTTTATCTCGGTTGCTCCTTCTCCTTGTCACTTTGCCTTTCAAGTAGACAAATCTTTAAAACAGATGGGCACATGGATACTCACATCAGAAGCGTAACAAGAATATCACAAGAATTAAGTAGAAGAGAATGCATTGAACACAATGCAGGTATTCAACCAGAGCTCTTTCCTGCAATAGTGGTATTGTGTAATAATAAATTATAATATCAGTCTCATTATTACTACTGAAGATGCTTACACATGACAGATGCTGTCCCAAGAACTCATCAATATTAACTCATTTAATCCACATACTTTGATAAGGACTCTGTTGGCACAGGTCATGACTGACACAAGTAAATTGGGCTACAGGTGGCTACCGGTATTCCATTCCCAGAGACGATTATGTCCACTAGGTGGCATTGCTGTTTTAACCAAGTGTGAACCAAGCCAGTGCTTAGGTTGAGGGGCCTGCTAAACTTGAAAGTGCTCACAGAACCATCTAGTTTGTATCTCTGCACCACTGATGGAAGCCCTCTCCGAAATTTGGAGCACAGTTCACAATCTATAAAGACTAATGCTGTCTTGAAATAGTTAAGACAAATATACACATTGCCTTTGCATCGTAATGCCTGTGTGGAGAATCTGGCTAAATTTTGAGATTAGCTAGTTGTTTTTTTTTTTTTTTATCAATTTTAGGGGAACAGGTAGAGAGTCAGAGAGGAAAAGTGACTTGTGGAAAGTAAATTAAACCTTAAGTTTTTGGCAATCGCCTCTTACCATAACACTTCCTACTGATGCTAAATCACTAAGAAACTGATAATAACTCCTAGAATAACTTTTCTTTTTGGATGCGGGGCAGAAGAGAGCCTGACAACTGGGAGGGTTTGTTTCATTAGGATCAAAACCTATGTTCCAAACTGATAATAGACGGGGGAACTCAGACATTCAGCAGTAATAAATTAAGAAAGAAATATCGGTGCTTTTTTAAAAAAAAAACATACCCCCCTGGAAAGATTGAATAGCTCCACATAAACAGATTGTCCCTGTTGGTGGATGACACAGTTTTGACTACTGAGCTGAGGCCAAAGAGCAAGTTAATGATGCATACAAGGATTCTAGAATCAGATGCTGGGGGTGGAGCCTGGCTCAGTCATTAATAACTGTCGGACTCCAGGAAGCTGTGCGTTTTTTCTAAACTTTTGCTCATGCATCTGTAAAATGGGAGTGATACTTTTTAGTTACATTTTGGGATGTTGGTGGAACATGTGAGTGAAGAACTATGAGACAGTAAGAAGAGGGTGAAAGATATCAATATTAACTGTTTTTGTCCACAACAGTTGGTGTTTAGTTTTCTGCAGCTCTCAGTAGTGAAGCTCGTTCCATGCTGAATTAATGGAAGGAAGAAATGCAGCATTTCAGGCTTTTAACTACATAATGTCACCTTCCTCAACCCCACGGCATAGGTAGCCAAGAATATGACTGTGTATTTCATTATATGTTTTCTGGAACTTTAATTAAACCACCTGCAGGCTGTGGGCTCCCACTTGCAGGTCAGGGAAGGTGACCAAGCACATGGCATCTGATCACTGAGCAATAGACAGTGTTTGCTGGGGGCCACATGTTGCTCTTTTACATGCACTAACTCCATTTTAATTCTTACAATGTCCTTGAGAACTACAAACTCCTATGTCTCACTTTCTAAAGGCGGGAGAACTAGGGGTAAGAAACTTGCTATGATTTACATGATAAGCCACCGAGCAGGCAAACTCAGGTCCTGACTCCTCATTCCCCTGCTCTCCCACCCCCTGAGCTCGGATGAGAAGAGCCCTTCCTCCAAAGGCCCCTTAGCTCCAGGCTGCTTTCCTTAAACACCACCAGGAAGCCTCGGAAACTGCAGTTTTTCTCTGCTGGCCGATTGTTCGCACGAGACTGGACTGCTCAGGAGGGTCGTGTGCTAAACTGACATGCACACTTTTATGGCAGTTAGTTAGTTAATGAGATGAACTGGTTTAACATTTAATAGACTCTTACAATTGCAAAGAGAGCTCAGAAGAGAGCTGGCCAGGGATGGAGCCTTCTTGAAGATCACTCCTTCGGAACGGAAGGATGCTGTATCTGAAAGAGGATTGGGTTGCTGATGTAATCGTGTCACTGACTGGCTTATTTGTGGCTCGAGTGTTCCGTGACATTCCAGACCACGCTCTTTTTCTCTTGGTTGGAATTCAGAATCCCTTATGGAATTCTTGAATTTAGATTTACAAGAGCCTTCAGAGTCTTCTGGTCTACCCCATCCTTTGCCTTTATAAAAAAGGCAATTGAGACAGGGCGTGCTTACATTTTACCCCTGTTATCTTCCTGGGAGAGTTACACTCCTGTCCATCTGATGAGTTTGTGCCATTTCTGTATCCCTTAGCTGTTTCACTTTGAATAGCATAAATTTGAACACTTGCTGGGTTTCCTGTTTATACCAGTAACATTTTCCCTTCAGTGAGAACACATATTCAATAAACAGCATCTGCTCTTTACAGACCATGCCTTACTATTTACAATTTCTTCCTCCTTCCTTTGCTTGAAATAAACTTTTATGGAGCAAAGGGCCAATGACATGTATTAGACTACATTTTGAAACCTATTTGTTTTTCTCTGCAGGTGCCAGGAATGCAAGTCATTCATCCGTTTTGTTAGTATCTAAGAAAGTGACCCTGTTAATTACAACCAGGGCAACTTCAAATCATTCGCAAAAAAAAAAAAAAAATGAGCTCGAAGGAGATCCTACTTACCAATTTCAGTCATGGTTATCCCTGGTGCTAACTGTCCATTGTTGAAAGAGCTATAGGTAAACAAGTTGGGGACGGAAGTGACGTCATAAATAGGTTCTTGCTTTATCTGTTTGATTCCAGTCATGTCAAGTCCTGACTGATCAGGGGACGGCTGGCCGGAGTCGACGGTGTAGTACCCCTCGGACTTGGGCAGGTCGATGACGTGCCCGTTGGCATAGGTGCCGCTGGTCTCGCTGTTGAGGCTCCCCAGGCCATTGCTGATGCTGCTGCCGTACACCCTGGCCAGGGCCTCCGCCTCCCCGCTCTGCTGCCGCTGCTCCTGCAGCCGCTGCTGGTGCTTCTGCACCTCCGCGTACAGGCTGTCCCGTTGCTTCTTGGACATCCTCCCGAACTTCACAGCTGGGGCAGAGAGGAAAGCAGAACACAACACTGCGTGTTAGCCTTCTCATTTAACCCCCTCAGCTCCAAGTGGCCGCGGATGGTCGTCCCCAGAACGTCAGACACATAAACACCACCTGCTACAGCGCAAGTCGGCTCACTTGCACTCTCTGTTTGGTGAAGGGTAGAGTTAGAAGTGACCTGTAGTGATTTCTGTGAATGGTGACACCAAACTTAGGCTAGACAAAAATGTAAAAACGTTGAATTTCTTGGTAACCATGAATTAAATTCATGTGTAATGAAGAAGACAGAGTTACCTGTTTCACTAGTGAAACAAAAACAATCAAACACTCTTGGCATCTTCTATTAAAATACCAAGCAAAATGTGTTATTCATGTTTATTTATTTATTCATTATTAAAGCAACTGGACTGCTAGATTGTCAGATACCAGCTTAGTATTTCACTTGCAGTCGTACTTTTTAAGGAGTATATTGGATAACACCAAGGATGTGGGCCTGGGCGATAAATATAATTTTAAGTCAATCACATTATTTGTCTTCACTTTGCTTTTGGGATCAAATAATAGACTCTTTTTTTTTCTACAGTGGCCATTTGTACATTCACTATCCAGCAAGTGAGACAGCAGTAGCTACTTTTTCTCATTCTATTGTTCATAATCTTTTCTTTCAAAATTTGATTAACATGTTAATATTGATACATTTTAACGGCATGCAGTGCAATATTTCAACACAGACGCAGAGCATAAACTGAGCCATTTTGCTTCTCTCTACCAGAAAAATACTTAGTAATTCTAAGAAAATTTGGGGAAGATTTTTTTTTTTTTTTTTTTAAACAGAGTGGTAAGAGGGGGCTTTCATTTCAATGTGCTGTCTCTGGCAGAGCCCAAGCTCCTGAACTCTGACGGACGCTGACACTCCCTCACTTGCTGTCAACTCCTGTTTTATGTCTGTGTTTGTCTTGTCTGAATCAGCGCATGTCCGAGGTAGGGGATGAACTCAGGACCAACCGAGAGCCATCCTCTGAGTTTTGGCTACATTTTTCTTTTGTGACTGTGTTTGTATCACTTGTTGCTGCTGAGAGCTCCGCCAGGAGGACGAGGAGGACATAGAAGGAACAAGCAAATTCAGTGTCCTGGATGCACTGAGCAAGACATGTGCTTTTTTGAGAATAAGTCGTGGTGCAGTGCTGAAGAAGTCCAGTGCGCAAAGAAGCTACAGAGGAAATTCCTGCTGTGACTAAACTGCCATCCACCCTTTAGAATATTCCTCCAAAATTAATTTTCTCCTTCTTCCTTTAGGAACAAACTACCACCTTTTATCTGAACATAGGCTGTTCTGGATGGAGCCCTCAAGTCCCAGCTCTCATTGGTAGGTGAGGTTGCTATTAGAAATGACTGTATTTGCATGGTCATTGGTGTTCTTCAGGACCTGCTGGATTACACAGGGGAGGGTGGGTTTAGAGAAGCCACTTTTCCCTAGGCCCTTTTTAAAAGCTTACATTCCTGGCTCTCTGTGCTGCTTGAGCAGCAAAATGAGGTGATAATTATGCAGTCGTTTTTCTCAATGAAGATAAGCACTCTGATTATTTCATATCAAACTCCGCTTTCCACCTCAGTTGTCACTTTTATATCATTTATATCATTGTGTTTAACTTTGCATGTAGAGCCACTGCTGTGATTAGATTCTATTTCTCGAAGACAACGTTATTTGCCTGCTAACTGCCATGATATTTTCAGTTTCTCTGTGAATAGAATTCCGCAGTAACTTCTTGGGAAAACTTTCTATATACCTTCATGTTATGTTTCCATATGCATCTTTATATACACATCTTTCCAAACTATGTACTCTGCATTATTCTCTACGTAAACATATTTCTACATAGGAAAAAAGGAATAAAAATTGAATCAGAAAGGACACTTGGCCTGTCCCTCGGGAAAGTAATGGACCTTGCCTCATTTGCATTCACTCACGCAGGTTCACAATAACTCTTTGTTACAGAGTTCTGGGTGTGAACACAAGAATGTATCCGGCTGTAGATGAAGACTTTCTTTTTGCCTAGATTGAGCTACTTTCTACCCATTTTAACACAATCGTTTGGCTTGGCATGCCCAAGTGTCTGAATGCGAGTCTCAGATCTCTCTCTGATGATGGCTTCCTGCTGATGGGCACTGTGGGAAGCCGCAGGTGCTGACTCAAGCACAAGGCTATCCTCGTGGGGGACCCAGACCGATTCTTGGCTCTAGCCTTTGGGGCATGAAGCAGTTGACGGACAACCTCTGTGTTATCTTGTCTCTTAGCCTTTCAAGTAAAATGAAACCAGCAAATGCTTAAAAGGAATAATTTTGTATTTGTTTGCTTACAATTTATGGGAATTGAAATGAAAAAATTGAGAATGAAAATATTTTCTGATGCGGAGGCAGAATGTGTAGTAATCCATGGTTTAGATTTTTATGTCCTCTAAATCTAGATACTGTAAATCTAGTACTTAGTGGTAGGTGGATTACGTTAGTAAACCTGATTCCCTTTGCCTGTCTCCATGTTCTTCCTCATTTTGCATCGCTATCACCCCGTGCAGGCATCCTCTCTACGCTTCGATTCAGGGTCATGTGACCTGCCCTGGACATTTGAGATTTTTACAAGTTTCTTGTTCCAGGCAGCTATTGACTCACAAGCACGGTCTTTACATAGAGCCCAGCAATACGTGCACTGTAAGGAAGAAGTAGGAGGATGTTGCCTTACCATCTCTTGACATTCCTAGGGCAAGACACTTCTGCAGCCGGCAGTGTTGGCAACGGTTTCTGTTGGTTCTGTCAATTAAGCAGTTTCTCTGCCTTGGGCAGGAATAAGAGGCATTATTCTGCTGGCTTCTCCTGAAGAATCCCTAGGGGGAGAAGCAGAGGTGAGAGGGGAAAGAATTGTGTAAGAATGGGAATGGCGTGAACATTAACATATATGTTAGGTTAGTCACAGTGCGTGTTAACAACGTGATTTTTAAGATTCTTTGCATTCTGTGCCCCAGATAGCTTTCGCATGTTTTGCTGCAGATAATAAATATTATCGGCAGGTATTGTTTACATATGCATCTATTTATTTAGTGTTAGCGACCAGGCATGCCCCCTTTAGATACACTCACAGCTGAGTTGATTTTAAGAGTATTCTTTGGATACTAACTCCTTTAGCTATCTTTAAAAAAAATCCTGTTGGAGAAAAAGAAGCATTCTTCTCCAGAGATATGGAAGTTATCCTGCAACTTTTCATACCCCTTGCAGTCAGGTTTTATAATCACTCAGCTTTTGGACTGCGCTGAGCAAAACAGATAAAACACAAAATACCTTGTGCAAGAGGAGTTCACAGTAGACAGAGCAAGAGAAACTGTGGGTAAAGATAACTCATGGAATCTTTTTAAAAAACATGTTACTTTATTCGAAATTCAGACATGAGAGAGAGAGATCATTTACCCATCAATTCACTCCCTTGCCGCAGTTGCAGGGGTGGAATGGGCCAGACACCACTCAGGAGTGGGGAACTTCACCCAGGTTTCCCAGATGAGTAGTAGAGACCCAGCTGCTTGAGCCATCAGCTGCTGCTGCTTAAGATACGCATTCCAGGAACCTGGAGTTGGGAGAGGAGCTGGGACTTGAAGCCAGCCACTTCAGTATGCTTTAAGTGCCAGGAAAAGAAGGGTAAGCTTAATGCCCTTCATTCCAAAGGACCTGAAATAGGTCTTGCAAGCTTCTTCTTCAAAGCAGGATAAAGCAGGGCTGGGACTAGGTGAGGCTGAGAGGCAATCCCCTCAGCTGCAGACTTATGGTGCAACAAAAATTGGCCACCAAGAAGGAGAGTATTTTGGTCCAGTGTTAAATCAACATTAGCACAAAGGGGGAAAACCCAATGGCTTCAGGAAAGACAAGAGCTTACCGGCTTCCTTCTGTCATGGGCTTCGATATGACTGGCCTGGCACTGTGCTAAGTGTGTGGCCAAGGATCTCCTTAGAGAGAAAGAGGGCTTAAAGCCAATTAAAAACCCCTGTGTACACCCATGTCTATTGTTTACTTAATGAACCATTGGCAATGGAAGGAGATGCTTGATGCTCAAGTTCTACTGGATTCATACAACTCGTTGGATTACAGGTTCCATTTAGGGATTGAAATGGTGCCCTTCTGGGCTTGCATTGTAATGCAGTAGGTTGAGGTGCTACACATGATGTCTGCATCCCATATGGGAGCGTGTCTGAGTCCCAGTTGCTCCATTTCCAATTCAGCTCCCTGATAATGCACCTGGAAGCACAGCGGGAGAAGGCCCAAGTCCTAGGGTGCCTGAGCCCATACGGAGATCCAGAAGGAGCTGCAGCTTCTTGTTGTGGCCATGTCGGGAGTGAACCCACAGATGAAAAATTTCTTCGTGTCTCTTGCCCCCACGTTGCAACTCTGCCTTTCCAATAAATTAATAAACAGTAAAATAAAAAGAAATGATGTCCTTCACATTCCATGGAGACTGTTGGACAGAATAACCAACAGTGTTTTGAAAAGTACATTTTAAGACATAATTTTGTTTTTAAAAAATCTCTGGTAAACTCCACTACCACTAAGTAGGAGTTGACAGAAAAGATTTCCTGAAGTCACAGCTACCACTATATTTTAAGGCCAATTTGACATTAATTAGGAAGCATTTCTTGCTTATCTGTTGCTCATTTTTGTAAATGAGTTTTTTGGCATGAGCAAGAGTTTCTGGTTTGAATTATGTTGAATGAATAGAAAACTGAATGAGTGTCTGAGCTGAATGGATGCTGTGTAAAATGGGTGGTTTATGTTGACTTGAAAACAGCATAATGAAAAACTCAGAGGTTGATACTAAATGTCCTGACACTGGGATCTCATTGTAAATAGACTTTCTTAGGTTTTCTCTTTGGAGAAAAATATAGCATTCTCATATTTACAAATGTGGGCTTTTTCATGAGATAAATAAAAACAGCTTAGTGGACAAAGTCATCTTGACGGAGACCTCAGAGTGTGACTCATATCACAGGATCATTTCTCTGGTTATGGTTTTCTTCTTTAAAGAGAAAAAAATGACAAGACCTCCAGTACCTAATCCTGGCCGTTGGCCCATTGGCATATACTTGTACAGGCCTGAAATCTTACAGAAATTGTTGTTTAAAGTGTCTTGCTCCTAAGCATGAACATGTCACTACGTTTTAACATAAAATATTTTCCCAGTAAGATTGATTTAACCAAATAACAAACATTTCTGCTCGATGAGTCAGAAATGCTGTCAGTGGGGATGGTTTTGGTTCCAACATTACGACTGGTTTTGAAGAGAACTCTTCACTACACCAAGAAAGCAGCAGCTTCTTCAGGAAAGGTAAAGCATGACTGTTGCTTAATTGTTGTAGGTTACACACAATTCTAAGGTTACATGTTCCTGTTCAGCAGTTCAGGTGCTTCTTGGACGCCCATATTCCACGTGGCATGCTCAAGTCCCAGCTCCTACACTCAGCGCCCAGGTTCCTGCTAATGCACACCCTGTGAGGCAGCAGGTGACGGCCCAAGAATGTTGGTCTTTGCCATCTACATGGGAGATCCGGGTAGACTCCCAGGCTCCTGGCTGGGGCCTCGCCCAGCACCAGCTGTTGTAAGCATATGGGAAGCAAACCAGCAGGTGGAAGATCTCACCCTATTTCTGCCTGCATTCTTCCCTGTCACTCTTACTTTCGAACAAATAAGTAATGAATTAAGTAAAACATTTTAAAACAATTCTTAATTATATGTTTGTAGAGAGCAAAAAAAAAAAAAATCTCTAGAGATTTGCCCATGGATCATATCATTATTAGGATCTTTATTCCCAATTTCCATCTTTATTCTCATTTCTTTATTTTCTTTCACTTGGTTTCAATTTGAGGAATTACATATATGTATAATATATGGTATTATATATTATAACATCATATATTAATATATAATACAAATATATATATACATATCACAAGGGTATCACAAAGACTGTCAGTTTCTCACACGGAACAAACTACTATGTCAGTTAACGGTATATTCTGCCCCCCATTTATGTTTAAAAATTTCTTAAAATTAAGATTGGATCTTAGAATTCATGACATACTAGACCTCTTTGGGTGCACTGAACTGAAGTCAATGATTTCCTTTGCTTGGATCTTTGACCCTAAATACACCAGTTCATGCCCACAATTTAGACCTCTATTACCTATTCCCTTCTCAGACTGCAGCTACATTTTATTTAGTTATTCTTTCTTTAGTATTAGTGTACAAATGCTTCAATTCCTCTTTTAAACATCTATGTTTCAAGTATTTCTTTTTCAAAAATTTTTTGGGAGATTTATCTATTTTTATTGGAAAGTCAGATATACAGAGAGAGGGAGAGACAAAGATCCTCCACCTGCTGGTTCACACCCAAAGCAGCCACAGTGGCCAGAGCTGAGCTAATCCAAAGCCAGGATCCCCCTTTAGGTTCCCCACATGGTTGCAGGGTCTTTAGGCCTTGGTTCATCCTCGAGCAGGGAGCTGGACAGGAAGTGAAGCAACTGGGACATGAATTGGCACCCATATGGGATCCTGGCACATAGCAAGGTGAGGGCTCCAGCCACTAGGCTACTGCTCTGGGCCTTCAGATATTTCTTATTTCAGTGTATTTTGCCTGCTATTTCGTCAATTCTTTTCTTCTGGAAGAAACTTGCTCACAGGATTAGGTTTGTCATTGGACGTGTTGGTAAGATCTTTCTGGGAGCACAAATTGGACTGAGAGTTTCGGCCAATTCAGCTTTCCGGATCAGTGATAATGGCTGAGATGACATAATTTTGCTTCTTACTTCAGAACCTCATTGGCAAAAGGAAGACACTGAGGTAAGGATTTTTTTTTTAAGCAGATCTAGAGATTATCTGGTCCTTTCTGACTTGCCAAGATCCCAGTTTCCTGTTCTTTTTTTTTTTTTTCTGAAATGAGAGAATAAAGGGCAATCATACACACAGTGCTTTCTCAAGCAGGTGCATCGATGCACACCCACTGGCTCACAGTCGTAAGTTGTAAACTTCTCTCTTGTCTAGTGTCCTGCAGACAATGTTGGAGGACAATGCTGCAGTCAGCATGTGCATACTCCATGAACATGCGCTATCAAGCTCTTAAGGAATACTCGGTTTCTAAGGAGCTGCTGATCAGGTGGAACATCACAAACAGGTAAAGGTGAAACACACACACACACACACACACACACACACACAGAAAATCCACCTGCTCACCCACTCAACAAAGATTCCAGTGTCAGCGGCTGGCAGGTCTTTTTCAAGAAAACATCACGACATGAACTTTGGGGTGCACACACATGGGAACGTGAGGGAGTGAGCCCATACCTTGCAACCTTCACATGTGATGACTCCGTAGTGGATTCCGGAGGACTTATCGCCACAAATTTTGCATGGTATCACTTCAATTTGTGCTGAAAGGGGAAGGCAGACATTTGAGCTTATGAAGCTGTCTTTTTTTTTACGCTCCTGTCTCTCTGCCTGTGGTCTCTGTAGGGAGGCTAGGGTAGGGTTAGCATCAGGGTTAGCGTTAGGGTTAGGGCAGGGTTAGCGTTAGGGCAGGGTAGTTTTATGATGCTGGGGAGGGTGTGGTGGCCTCAGTGTCACAGGTGACTATGTTAATGGCTCTGCTGAGCTTCTTTTGTATGATATAGGGAACCTCTGCAACTACTTATGCTGTTTTTTTTTTCCTCTTAAACTAAAAAAGCATCATCAGAGACTAGAAGTTGTCAAAACTGTTAATTTCACTGTTTTCTTCTCTTTTTGCCCTCGATTTTGAAACAGCTTGAGTTAGATTCCTTGAACTAGTGGCTTTGGTTTCCCTATGTGCACTTAAAAACTAAGTCACTGAAAGTTTTCACATGGTCTTATTTCAGCAAGAGGTTGAATAAGGAATAAAGCAAAGCCAGGAGGTGGACAGGAGGTGGGCACAGTTGCCATTTTGTTCGTTTGCAATGTGCTGTGATGTCTTATAGACACCTGTATGTCTGTGCCTCTGCAGACAGCTCTGCAAAGATACACATACGTACATGATCAAGATCTATGATTATGTATAAGTTTATGCTTATCACAGATACACAACCATGATTAAGGTACATGCATAGATTTTATTTTGATTGACATAAATTATATACTTTCATAGGTGTTGTTTTTGTACATGAATGAAACTGTATTAGCTACAACCGACAAATGTTTTCTGAAACACTTAGTGTTTCTTTGTAATGAAAGCACTCAAAACATTCTATCATATATAGTACATTGTGAATATTGCATGTTCTATAGGTCTCCCAACCGCATGATAGAATGAACATTTCAGTCCGATGTTTTCCCAAAGGAAATGGAATTGGCATATGAAAGGGTCCCTGTGCCCCAGGTTTAGAACAACTCAATTCACATAGCAAAGATTCATGGAATCAATCCAGATGTCCAGCAGTGAAGACTGGATGAAAAAATATGGTATGTATACATGGTGCAATGCTACCCAGGCAAAAGGACAATAACATCCCTCCCCGTTTTCTCAATAAAATGGATGCGACTGAAGATGATTATGCTTAGTGAAATAAGCCAGGCCCCAGAAGAAAAACATTATATATTTTTTCTGATTTGTGGTAATTAATATGAAGAATAAAAAAAAAGTAGTGTATATGAGTGACTGATATATTGAGGTTTGATGATTTTTTTGTAGCTTTTGTCTAGTCTGAGGAACAGTGGTCTTTCTACTTACTACTTGTTGAATTCTGTATTTAGTGGAGCGTCACACTTGTGTTTGTAAAGCACATTGAAAGAATGTCAGTGCAAAACTTAAGAGTAAGAAAGGACGGAGGAAGAAGCATCAGATTGAGGGAGGAAGAGTGGGAAGTATCATGTTCTTAAAATCACATATATGAACTACATGAAATCTGTTTCCTTTACATACACAAATAAAAAACTAAAAAGGGAAACGCATCACTGCCTTAATTTTATTTATGAATATATATTTTAATTCACATGTAGTAATCATAGGTATTTATAGGCACGTTGTGATGTTTTAATACAGATATAGTTCTAATAAATCAGAACTGTTGGCATATTTGTCACCTCAGACATTTAACATTCCTATGTTTTGAGAACATCCAAAATTCTATTAACAATTTTGAAGTATTTCATTGATTGATTCAACTGTAATTGCCCTATTGAGCCGTAGAACATGAGAAGCTGTTCCTGTTGGCCAATCGTATCTTTACAGACATCCTCCCCTCCTCTCCTCCACCCCACAACTCTTTCCAGGCTCTGGTAACTTCTGTTCTATTCTATTCTATTCTATTCTATTCTATTCTATTCTATTCTATTCTATTCTATTCTATTCTATTCTATTCTCTGCTTCTTGGAGATCAACTTCAGCTTCCATATCTAAGTGCGAGCAGTTGGTATTTGTCTTTATTTCACTTAGCATAGTGTTATCCAGTTTTGTCTATGCTGCTACAGACAACAGCTTTTCATATTTTTAAATGGCTGAATAATATTCCGTTGTGTACATATACCATATTTTCCTGATCCATTCATCCATTGGTGAATGCCTAGATTGAGTCCATAGCTTGGTTCCTGTGAATAATGCTGCAATAAATGTGTGAGTACAGATGTCTTCAACATACTGATTTCATTCCTTTTGGATGTATATGCAGTAGTGGGATGATGGAACATATGGAAGCTCTATTTTTAGATTTTTGAGGAATCTCCATGCTGTTTCCCATAATTTCAATACTAATCTGCATCCCCAGTAACAGTGTGTAAGTTTCCTTTCTCTACACCCTCACCAAAAGAAAATACATCACTCTTAAAAGCTCCCTTCAGGAATGGTGGTAGGAATGGGAATTTGAGGTGCTCTCTGTTGGAAAGAAAACATTTTACTATGCATACTTTTGTGGCTCTCAATTTCCACCTTTCTGGGTCCTCCATCCCATCCAGGCTATTGTTGTATGCTGGGCATCTGAAGTCCATTGAGGACAGGAGCATTGCTCTTGGGTTGTTGACTTGCTCTTCAGGGCTCAAAGCAGAGTTTTAAAACTCCCCAGAACAGTGAGCCTAGTCATCCTGGCTTTCATTCAGACCAATGATTTGATATGCTTCCATTAAAAAAAAAAAAAAAGACTTCAAGAAATACTGAGTTTTCATACTTGGTGCTGCAAGAAGAACTCAGAATCTTGAGATTGCTGGGGTGGACATATTTTGCACAAGATTACCAGATGTTTCTGATCTGATAAGATAAGGCTTCTATCTGAAATTAAGCAAATCAAGCTACTAACAAAGAATTGTCTCTTTCAGGTTAACTGAAAGCAGCAGAGGAAAATCCAGGATAGGACAGATGTGGAAATACATTCCTGAACCCTCGGTCTGCCTGTTAATTCTGTTTCATATAATTTGACTGTCATGCCAAAAGTGGACAAGGTAATTAAATAATTTATATCTGTTGAAACAGATATAATCGTGTCGAAAAGTAAAATCCACGCAAAGATTGGATTGCTAACTAAACACACACCTAGAAAAATGCCAAGAAGCTGGAGTCTGGGTGGAAATTACTCAGTCTTGTTTCCCATTCATTTCATTGAGATTCCAAGCATCAGGTCAGAGTTTGGAAGCAAGCAGAACACGCCCTTTTCTGATTGCCAATGAGAAAGACTCAGTCTCTAGGTTCGTGTTTAGACAAGAAACCAGTCAGGACTGCAGACGAAAAGACAAGAATATACTCTGAAAGGCAGCGATCAATATCTAATTTTGATATCTTTGTTGTTGAAAAGGGAAATCTTGTAACACGAAGGTGAACTCATACTGTTTCATGAGTTACATGGGTGGATCACCACCTCCTATTAGGAGGACATTTGTGTAAGATTAGAATATGATCACCATAGAAAAATCGTAATCTAATAGCAGCTGTTACTGGTCAACGCATTTATGTTCTTTTTTGGGTGGCCAAAAACCAAATAGTGGCATTATTTGAAACATTTTTATGTTAGCAAGCATTTTTGTTTTTAAAGGTACCCTTAGTCATTGACATAGCAAATAATATATAAGCAAACTACGGGGCGTAGTAAGAGTTCTCTCCCTTTCTCTCCCTCTGTGTGTGTGGGGGAGGGAGGGAGAGCGGGGAGGAGAGAGAGAGAGAGAGAGAGGAGAAAGAAGGAAAGGGAGAGAAAGAGAAAAATACCACAGTAACTTTCTAAAAGAACTCAGACTTGAAGAACTTATTTTTTGGATTATCTGCAAGAGATCTGAATGTCTTTGACATAGATAATGCTACAATAGCTAAGGAGACTGCAGATTTCTGCCCTGAGAATCACATTATTATATAATTTATATTCCAGCAAACTTGCAATTCCGCCTTCATTGCTTCTGCAATGAATTTTGAAATGAGAAGAAGTTATAGACTTGGAGAGACAATTTTAATTCTCATTTTACCTTTAGAGACAAGAATGATTCAGGAATTAGAGACAGGCTTTGAGTATCATTATCTTTACAAATACATTCTTTTTTTTTTTTAGGGAGACATGCAAAATTTCAAAGAAAGTATTTTCATCTGCACACAGCCACAGAGGTAAAGGGGTAAATTGGTCATTTAAGAGGTCACTGCAGAAACTCTGTCTTGTCATTTACTTGTGCTAAACAACTTGCGCTCAGCTACCTTTTGTGAAGTGGCTAGGGCTTTGTCTCAGTCCCACGCTGAGCGCAAGGTAGTTGTCGCTCCCTCAAAGACTGAAATGTTTGTTCTGCTGAGGTTGCACACTGCCCCTAAAGAGATTACCGGCACAATCCTAAATGTTGTGGGGCCTGAGCTATCTTAGTTTTGAGTCCATCAGATGCAGCCTGCTGCATGTAATCCCCAACAGCTTTATTCAGTGTTGATACAGCTGGGGGAGCTCTATGAAAATGAAGACTGCTTCTTCTTATTCCTGGAGACATCATTCACCAAAAGAAGTGAGGATGGATACTGCAATTTACTCCACGTAACAAGTGTCCCTCTTTGAGCTGCTTTTCCGAAACATTCCCATTGTCCGCAAGTCCATGACAACACTGAAATGGAGATGTTCATTGTTGTCCGTCTTATATATTCATTTATACTAATGGCATTTGATGCTATCAGGGGCATTAAAATGGCAGGAAATCATTTTTCCCTATTTAAGGTTTGAGCTGCTTCTAAAGAGTAGATTTCTATTTTTTAGAGAAGATACAAGGATATTTCAGAAAGTTCATTAAAAATTGGAATTAAGAACACATTTATTCTGTCACAAGAACCTTGCTAAGTGCGTGTTTTCTTCTTTTCATAATGTGAACTTTCTGTGAGCTTTTGAAAGATCACCTGCATTAGAAGAAAGGGTCATCAGTGAAAGAAATCACCAAAGACAGCACGAAATATTCCGCTATAACAAAACAATCAGCGGCAGCTTCAATTTATCCCCTCGAGTACTAGTAAAATTTAAAAAGAAAAAAAGTGTGATTCTGTCTGTAAAATGCAAAAAATGCATTGGCCAATAGAGTTTACTTCAAAATCAGATGTGTGTGTATGTGTGTACACGCCTATAAACCTCTACATTTGAATGCTGTTTTTGGTAATTTTATAACAGAAAGAAACCTTATGCTTGGTGTTCACTCCAAATCTGGAGAAAAATAAACGTTTGCATGATCTTGCAAGACTCTGCTCACTATGATTAAGACCTAAGGAGGATTAAGCGCATAGATGTTAATACGTGCAGTGTTATTAATTTCTAAACAACAATAGCAACAGTTTCCCAAGTCTGTCTGTCGTAAGAGTAAGCAGTTGTTTTAAGGTTTCACTGAGGGCAGAACCACAGTCTCCCAGTAATGGCACATTGTACAAACGACGCATTTCTACCCACATGTGGTTTGAAACTGGTGAGTGATTTCAGAGAAACAGAATGTGTTCTAAAAATACAAGCACCAGGAAGTTTGCAGAGGCATGAAATTCCGACTTTGTGCGATATTTGGAAAAGTTTTAGCTTGGTTTGTAACATTTCCTAACAACTCAAACACTTACTTTGTTTGGCGCACACCATATCAATTTACATTCTGATATTCCCACCTGCTACTCATTGCTCTGTCGTATTAGCTGAGAAATGGTAATGATTTTATCCTTGGATATCTTTAAAGGTAACACTCTGATGAAGTCACACAGTTTCAAGGGAAACACGTATTGCTTACCGATATGAAATTTAACAGAAGACCTCAAACATACGTCATCTCATTAATAGTCATACAACCAAGCAGATTTTAAAAACTAGATGTGTTACCTGTCAGAATGCATCTGGTGTAATAATATATATGAAATAATGCAGGTTTTTAAGCAAAAAAATATAATGATCAGAGTGATAGTGATAAAAATGAGTAAAATCAAAGCTATGAAATTGTGACAAAGATATTCAAACAGCTAAGCTAATGTGGCAGAAGACTACCTGAAGTTAATCTCAGAATTTATGCATTTGGTCATTCACAGTTGCATATGGCAATATTTACATTTAATGATCTCTCCAGTGTGAGAGCATGACGGAGTGACTTGTTTATTATTAATGTTGTTGAATAAGAAATTGCTTTTGCTCCCACATCTAGCCATCAGTTTGTTTTGCGAGAGCTCACCAATGCTTGCATTCTTGCCTGGAGATGGGCTTGTACCACTAAGCATCAGAAGAGACAAGAAAAGGCAAAACTCACCAGAGGCGTCAGCTTTAGGTTTGAGCTGGTTCTCACACATCTTACTGTAGCAATTAAAAGTCTAAGTGAAAAATACTAGACTTTTCACTTGAGGTCTCTGACCAGACTGTCCCTATGTTATCCAGAACTACAATCCCAGCAGACTGCATTAATGAGATTAAATGAAAGAGGAGTTAGCTGCATCAACTGTTCCCTCTCGTTAAGTGAGGGCGAAGGGCTGCTCAGGCGAGGAAGGCAGATGGGAGACAAGTGTTTTGTCTTTTTGATACTCTGCGTTCACTCAAGAAGGCAGCGTTTGCTGGATTGCAATGGCAGCTTGGAAACACCATTCTCCATCCTGACACGAATTGTACAGATAGGAGTAATTTCCGCATTGGAATTCTCCTTTGTGTCTACTAGGAGTCCTTTGGATGACAAGACTGTGACGTGGATTCGCTTCAGGATTACTTTGACGGCTGTGTTTTGGTCCCTCTGATGGAGGTGCAGTGTTGACGCACTGTGTAAAGGTGATGCCGTAGGCACGTGCTCTCCAGCATTGCATCACAGTTGTCCATGAGGTTATGTATGGAGCGCACGAGAGTTTATGCACACCTTACGACAGTGGTGACCCAAAGCCTGGGAACCCGTGTGGGAACCTTACACTGTACAGGTGACACATCCCAACCTTGGCGCCTAAAATGTCTTCATTCGCCAGCAAATTTAGGGCTCAGGCAAAATAAGCATGAAAAAGACACACAGACACATGTCCGATCCTCTACATCCATGTTATGCAAGGCAAATACAGAAGCATGAGCAGTCTTTAAGACAGCTATGGAAAATGCTTAACATGAAAAATCTGCATCGATTTCAAAAAATTTTGTACCCAAATGAATGTACACCTTAGTTCATTCTTCCTTGAACTTTTCAAAGCATTGACTCCCAAAGGAAAAAGAACCCCTTTTTTTTTTGTTATGAGAACAAAATGCTTAAGTTAGGGATCAGCTTTATTTAAGTTAAAATTGCTGAATGGTTCCAGTGAAGCATCTCACGCCATTCTCTTCACCTTTACCTTGCCTCTACTTTGGTTTTCTTTCCACTAATATCACTAATGGTGTCTTGATCTCTTTCTTGTTCCTTCTTCTCTTTTTTAAAACATCTCTACATTTTCTTGAGCTACATCATAGCAGAACTGCTTTTCCATGGGCGGTTGGTGGAAGACGTCGAGTAAATCCATTCAGTGTTACTGTCAGTCTGACATAGCTGAACCTGGTGGTGGTGCTCAGTTCTGGATGCCATTGGAATAAACTGGAAAACTTAAAAATATTGATGTTGGGGCTTCCTGCAATTAAAGAAATGATGAATTTTGCTGCTTCACATGACTCCAATGGGTGAGGTTAGGCTGGGCTGAAGCTGAGGCTGGGAGCGTATTAACCAACTCAGGTTGTCTGCACTAGCGCAAAGCTCAAATCAGCAGCTGGAGCCACGAGTTAAAATCTCCTTCTCTGATTTGGGACATGGGCGCCCTAATCCACGGCCAAAAGCCCACCTACAGTTTCCTCTCTTCGTTGGTTTGTTTGTTGTGTGACCGCAGCATCTGGGGTCTTAAGCACTTTTAGCATTGTAGCACAGGAGCGAACATGCCCTATGGGTGTTGCTTGTAGTCCTGGCAGCTTCACTTCTGATATGGTCCCTGCCAATGGCTTGAGCAAAGAAGTGAAGGATGGCCCAGGTGCTTGGGCCCTGGAGGAAGGTCCTGGCTTTGGGCTTGTGGTCGGTCATCTGGGGTCTGAATCAGTGGACATTCTCTTTCTCTGTGTCTAACTCTTTCAAATAAAAAAAGCTTGAAAGAAATTTAAATTGAAAGAAATTAAAAATTTCAAGGTTATTCTAATAAGCAGTCGGGATTAAAAACCCCTAGAATATTCTTGAGAATCCCGGAAGAGGTATGTGATGGATTCCTGATTACCACCAAGCACTGAGTCATGGTTTAAGGAGTGTTCTGGAGGGCCGCAGTATTCACTGTGGTTAGGTGAATTTGGGGGAAAAAAAAACTTGATAAAAGAACATTGAATGTTGGTTGGCATGTCTGGTTGTGAGTTCCTGGGTAAGTTATCAAACATTTTGTGTCCTTTAGAATTCAGATCTCTGAAACAGGATTGTAATCCCTGCTCATCAAATCATAAAAGGAAGAATGTGAAAAAGCTTAACACAACATCCTGAATATAGTGGGTAATTATACAAGAGATACAGTTGAATGTGAATCTGACCATCTTTGTTTATTTCAGGGATATGTATTCTCATTCATTCAGTGCTTAGGATTGAAGATGATGTTACTAAGCCACTGAGAAATCAACATGATGAAAGCTAAAGCCCACTATGTACTAACATTTATGAATTTAATTCTGTTAATTTCTTTTGTGTACCATTGATACTTTTCTGTGCAACATTAGCAATAATAATATTATTATCAGATTTGGAGGTAACCAAGAAAACATGTCTTGGAATGAAATTTATAGGCACTATCCTTGGAGAGCTGCAAGCAGGAGAAATTGATGTTTCCTTACACTTCCTGAGACTTAAAAAAATACAGCTCATGCCCGGCCCAACCCGGAAGCGGGTACAAGAGAGCAGCCAGTGTCAGCACAGACTGGGGCGTCCCACACAGAGCATGCTTGTCCTGGGACATAGGGCAGGACGGGAGATGGGATGTCGCATACAAACCTGTGTTCAGGAAAGAGAAACAAAATGGCTGGGATTTCCATGCAGTTGGAGTTTGATCACGTCATTGTACCAAAATCTTTTCAAGGTTTACAAGAAGAGCATTAGTTCCTGTTTTGTTGCCTGATTTTAAACCTCATGACCGGCTCTGTCATTAGCCATTCTAACACAATCTTGGACCATATTGATTCATTCTTCTTAGCTTTCCCAGTTTTCTCTTCCTTGCCTTTTTTAATGTCACTTCTTTCTCTTCCTACTCCACAGTGATCCAATTACTCCCATCCAACATATTCCTGCAGACCCAACTCAAGTCAGTACCACTGCAAGCATCCCCTGGCCGCCTACCCACTGTTTTAGTGATTATTCTAGACTCTCTGTCTCCACTACTCATTCGGCTTTGGTGTTCTTCATTAATCCTGCTTATATGCTTACCTTCACCTTGAGTATAAGCTGCTTAGGGATAAAGTCCCTTCTTTGTGTGTCTCCCAGTGTCTAGCATAAGGATTCATGAAAATGTATGAATCAGTAGACACTCAGAGAGCGTACGTTTGCAGATTGCCCATTAGGGGACAATATACAACTCCTGCTGCCTCGTGCCACAGTTTGCTCTACCTCAAACTTCGATAGCTGGTGTTGTGGCGTGTTTTCTTGTGTCTAGTGGAAGAGAGGGATGGAGTAAGAAGATACATGCTTGCCTCTTTTGGTTTTTATTTATTCTATTCTACATGTAGGAACAAGGAATTTGGGAGAGAAAACTTTTGCTTTCTTGTTTTTGCTTAATACTGTATGTTTCCTTCATCCCCTTTGGTTTAGATCTCTCGCTCTTCCCGTTGGTAGCTTTTGTTTTTGTCTCTCTGTATAGGAGTATTATCATCAGAGAGGGGGGTCTCTCCCGTGATGGCGACTCTGTCTTCATCCCATCCCGCTGTAGGCAGCAGCTCTTTCTACACCAGCACTGTACTTAGGACTGGCACTGGAATCACAAGACATTGAACCAGTGGAAAAGAAAAATTCTACAACCAGTGTTCATTTTCCAGATTCAGAAAGAAAGGAGAAATGAATCTCCTTAAACAAAAGAAATGTTGTTTTTTAAAAAAGAAATTGTTTGATTTTATAGGAAAGTCTTGCATTTCAGTACAGGTTTTCCAGGATGCGGTTCCCAGAAGAGCACAGGCCCCGCATCACTGGGGATTTGTTAGAAATGCAGATTTCTAGTGATTTACCATGGAGCCATGGTTTGAAACATATGCAGAGAAAAATAGCTCCTGGATCTTCTCTCCACAATTCTGCCTTTGCAATTAAGATTAATACATCCTCAAAAACATGTATCTTGCTATAAACGTACTGATGTTTGAAGTTTGTGGCAAGGCCAGACCAAGATTTCCAGGGTGTTACAACTGGTCTATGGGAGTTGGGGAGGGGGACTTTCTTAACCCTATACTAGGCAACTCAGTACACATTTAATTCCCGTAAACCATGGTTGATGAGCTTATTGTAGAAAGCAAGGTGGAGCTGCTCTCTGCCTTCACCTTTTCCTGATACAATCTCACTCAAAGGGATCAGGAGGCAGGGAGAGGGATTCAATGCACCTGTCTCAGTAAAATGAGGTATCTGAAGTGTCGCCTGTAAAGGTCTCAGAGCAGAAAGCAGAGTCTGTTTTCTTCTTGATGAAACCAGCAGCAAAAATTTTGAGTTCTGACTGCTCATTTCCTAACACATTTCTCAGCTTCCTTCTAACATTTTTGTTTTAAACCTTAAGAAAATTGGTTGGAATAACCTCATAGCTTAATTTAAGACAAAATTCTCTTATTATATGAGCTATTACATACATCTAATGCATGATGCAGATTGAAGAAATAATTTGATTTGCATGCAAATATGCTCAATGCTTATGAAGCAATCACTTTTCAATCAATTGAAATTTTAGCTGTTTGGGAATAGAGATCTGAGCATCAGGGAACAGCTTAAACTCAATAATTTCTTTCATTTATTTTTAAAGATACATATTTTTGCATTGGACAATCAGATATGCAGAGAGGAGGAGAGACAGAGAGAAAGATCTTGCGTCCCCTACCCCTCAGTGGCTGCAGCTGAACCAATCTGAAGCCAGGAACCCAGAGCCTCCTCTGGGTCTTGCACATGGTGTAGGGTAAGTTTTTTAATATGATACATTTCACTTATTTCTAATCTGAAAGATGTAAAAAATTGTTATCAAAGAAGCGCTCATAATTTCTCAATATACCTTTCCAATGGGAGACTTGCATAAAGTGTGGAGTTTTGCTATGAGAACCCTCCACTCTTACACTCTTAGCTTCCTTTCTGCCTTAATGATGCTTTTTTAAAAATCATCTTCTGGACTGAGTGCAAGAGACACCATTCTTAAAAATAAGGA